ATGATTCAACCACTCAAACCACTGGATGTCGCTGAAAACAACAAATCCTACACACTGTGCCTTTAATTAGAGAGTAAAACTCTGCACTGCTTTCAACAAGTCACATTCATGACTGAGACATAAGACTCTGAGGTTTCCTGATACAATTTTTCTTTATGCAGATCGAAAAAAAGATTTTGCTTTTAACTGAAATATCAAATATTTTACAGGTTTTGTTGTGGTTTTGTGAGATGAGATTTCCATTTCCTGCCATGTTTTGCCAACTGACTACAGAATCAGAGCGATCTATTGGTGAGCAGACGTTAAATCAGCTGTACTGATATCAGAAGATGTGAAAGAGAAACAGCACACAGAAGAAGGCTAATTTAAAGTGATTATGAAACAAAAAAATGGCATCAGGTTGTTAAATTTCACTACAGCTCACACAGATCAATGCTACAGGTGACTCATGGGAAAAAGAGAATAAAATCTGGGGACATGATCATAACCTATTTTATGATTAATGATAAACTTACACAGCAGTAAAAAAAGACTGATGCTAAAAATATCTCTACATCATAAAACAGTAAATAGATTATAATAAACATTAAAAACAAATGTTAAATTAAAAAAAAATTAAAAACAGGTGTGCTGGTAGCTGAGAGTCGTCCTCAACAGAGGCTTGAGTGCTACATCTTTGCCTTAAACTTTGACAATAATTGCTGGAGTCAATGCTGCTTTTCTGTTAGCAAAATATCCCATGAACAACTTGATGTGTTTTAATGAAACTCAGAAAAAAAAATCAGTGGACATACACCAACAATCATGTTTATGCATGGGTATTCCTTGTTGGAAGTGAGAGGGTTCAGAATTCAAGACGGCAGCTACTCACCACAACTCAKCAGTGAGTAAAACTCTTAATTTTACTTTTAACAGTATTTCTGTATTATTTATTTCACATGTAATCAGTTGTATACGTAGTACTTTCAATATTTATGAGAGGAGGTGTTAAAACACTGTTTCTATGCAGGAAACACCACATAGAGCTCAGTATTGTTTGGTGGCAGTGCTCAGCCATGAGACGAGGAATGTGGTGTTTTGTGTTTAGTCAAAGTTAAACTTGAWACTTTGAAGTTAATTACAACCGACCCTTCAAGGGCCACCATAACTCTCATGTGGCCCTCGGTGAAAATGGGTTTGACACTCCTGCTTTAAGGAATGCTGGTTTTTTAATGCTTTAACTCTGACAGTTATTTATTTAGGTCCTTAAGTTTATCTTTTAATATTAGTACCTTTCTTAGTACCCGATTAKGTTCTTGGTTCTCAATTCTGTTCTTGAGTTCAGATGTAATTTTGTAAGATTAGTTTCCCTAAAATCAGACTGTAGTCAGTTTTGGTTCTCCTTTCTCCTCACTGCTTGCTGAGGCCCCGCCCCCACTCACACCTGATCATTGTTGTCTCTCCTCAGGTGTTTGTCATTTCTCCCTCSTTAATCTCCTTTATAATCAGTGCCATGTTGTTACCTCTCTGTCCATGCATTGTGTTCCCTCAAACCAGTYGCTGTTTTTCCTTTTTCCCCTGACGTCAAATTGTTCACAATTGTAACGTAATTCAAGTAATTTACAACTGACTCAGTGTTTCAGTATGAAAACAAGCCAACAGGTACAGCGCTGCTTTAGTCATGTATGAACAGAGGTGATTATCAGCACCAGACAGGGAAATGTTTAAAGGGGAGGAGAACATTTATCCAAACCCTGTGATTAAACACTTAAGGTTAAATACAACACATTCCCATCGAGCACAGGCAGGTAGTCTCCCCTGTCATTACTGTGACACACTCAGATCCTCTGCAACCCTGCATTTTTAACTGATTAACTGTATAAAAGGGGTAAAAAGATGGTTGTAATGCTGCAAACTAAAATCACAATGTTGTAAATCTAAGGAACAATTAGAGAAAGATCAGTTGAAACATTTGCTTTCATATTTATACAGGATTTAGGGTGATTAACAGTTCAGATGTGATTTTCAATAAGATTAGTTTTAAATGTTTTCTACAAAAACATCGTGTTGATTTAAAATCTTTTATGAAATGAGCAAAGTTTTGTCTTAAAGGACGATACGAACAYAATGCTCAGTTCTTTGTTTTTAAAAAAAATTTTGTTCACCTTTTGCATAACTGCCAAACTGTCTTTGTTTACTTGTTTGGGTTTTACTAAACTTCCAGTAAAGCTTCACCATAGCCTCTTCAAAGGGCAGATTACTGCTGAACGTTCCTTTTAGGCTTCACCCACGTCTTATTAGTGGGAGTTAAATAGACAATCTTATTCGAAGTGTGAAACAAACAGAAACACTGACTGAGCCAGCAGTGCAGACGTAAATACCTTTGAGTCGCACATATGGCTCCCGAATGCATCTTTAGTTTTCACATCTGGAAAAAAGAAGTCATAAATTGATCTGTAGATCCCTTAGGTAAGATCGCAAAATGCTTATCTAATCTGAAACTTGAATCTGTATCTCATAGAATGTCAAACAGTGAGCAGCTGAGAGGAAACAGAGCACCATAATAAGAAGTGAGTTTATTTATGATGCTCCAGCGTTGGCCGAGCCAAGTGAAGAAACCTTCAGTGGAGGAGCTCATCAAGGCTGCTTCAGGTCTCCACCCACAGGAACAATGTTGGGTGAGGGACTKCAAAAAGACTGAACTCCTATAAAACGTCTACTGATTTCCAAGTTTTAACAGTAATTTAAATTTTTCTTTTAACTGTTTAACTGTTGTTTGAAGTAAATGGAAATTAAAGACCCAGCATTCTGACATAACAAGCTGAAATGAAAACAGGCCAAAATGAATAGGAGTAATGAGGCTATTTTAAAAATGTAAGGAGTAGAAAGTATAGTGAATTGCATGAAAAGATTAAAAAATGGGTTGAAAAAAGTACTTATGTAAAGTAACAAAGTATTTTAACTTTAAATTTATGCCACATTTTATTGGATTTATAATCTTCAGACTTGGGTCCTCAAAGTTCTGAATGATGAACGGTCTGATTTTTTCCTTTTAATTCATAAAATTTAAGATTCCAATTTTAGGTTTTATATACTTAAAGTTTGCTAATTTATGGGTCTCGGAAAATGGGGGAGCTTACTGGGGTCAGCGGGGGAGATGATCCCCTGTGGGACCATTTTGCTCCCTCAGATTTTTCTCCCCATCCCCCCACMACACACCTCCACCCTCCTCATTTTCAGCTGCACTCATGTAGGGTTTTTGGGGCGCAGGTGTGTTATAAAGAGCAACAATTTTACGTATATGTTTGCTATAACCATTTGGGCTCCAATTTTACTGGACACTTTAGACATTCACTCATAACATCCTCATAACATTTACATATAGGAACTAGGGGTGAGCACTTACGGCATGCAAGGGGTGGGATGGAACACTCTCGCCACTGATGCCTGTGCCCACTCCCAGTGTTTGCTTTTAGACATTTAGGGTTTTAGGTTAGAGTTGAGGTGGAGGGGAAACGGGCACCATGCCAGCCTCTGCCCCGTCTTCTTCCCCGTTTTAATTGGTTTGTAGAACAACACGCATCATCAGTACTTCTGAGGGTGTGTGTATGTGTGTGTCGGGGTCTTTTTTACTCCCCCGTTCCCCATGGGCCTTCTGGGGATGGGGTCCAGAGGAGGGGCAGACCGTCTGGTGGGGCCTGGGCTGCAGGCGGATTTGGGGCTTGGAGGGGGTGCCGGGGGTGGGGCTGTACATATA